GGGAAAAGATCTTCACCAACCCCACATCTGACAGAGGACTGATATCTGAAATATATAAAGAACTCAAGAAACTAGACATCAAAATACCAAATGATCCAATTAAAAAATATGGTACAGACCTAAACAGAAGAATTTTCAATAGCAGAATCTCAAATGGCCGAAATAGACTTAAAGAATTGTTCAACATCCTTAGTCATCAGGGAAATGCAAGTCAAAATGACTCTGAGATACCATCTTACACCTGTCAGAATGGCTAAGATCAAAAACACTGATGACAGCTTATGTTAGAGAGGACGTGGAGTAAGGGGAACACTCCTCCACTGATGGTGGGGTGCAAACTTGTACAGACACTTTGGAAATCAATATGGCCATTTCTCAGAAAAATGAGAATCAATCTACCTCAAGACCCAGGTATACCAATTTTCAGCATATACCAAAGGATGCTCAATCATACTACAAGGACACTTGCTCAACTATGTTCATAGCAGCAGTATTCATAATAGCCAGAACCTGGAAACAACCTAGATGCCCCTCAACTGAAGAATGGATAAAGAAAATATGGTACATATAGACAATGGAGTATTACTCAGCTGTAAAAAAAAAAAATGACCTTATGAATTTGCAGGCAAATCTATGAAACTAGAAAAAAAAATCATTCTGAGTGAGGTAACCCAGACCCACAAAGACAAACATGGTATCTACTCACTCATAAGTGGATATTAGGAATAAAGAGGATAACCCTCCTAAAATCCACAGCTCCAGAGAGTCTAAATAACAAAGAGGGCCCAAGGAGGGATGCATTGATTTCCCTGCAATGGGGAAGTAGAAGAGATCTCCTAGGTAAACTCGGGGAGGGAGTGGAGGGGAGATGGGAGGATGGGAACTTAAGGGAGCTGGTTGAGCAGGCGGGGCACCAGAAGGGGAGGGAGAGAGTAATGAAAGAGAAATCTTCATGGGGAGGGGAGGCATTTGGAGGTTAGTGAGCATTCTGGTAGCAGGGAAATTCCCAGGAATCCACAAGGATGACCCCAGCTAAGACCCCTAGCTATAGTGAAGAGGGTGCCTGAATTGACCACCTACTGTAATGAGATTGGTGACCACCTAATTGTCATCAGAGAGCCTATATCCAGTAACTGGTGGAAGCAGATGCGGAGATCCACAGCCAAGCACTGGGCAGACCTCTGGGAGTCCTCCTGCAGAAAGGGAGAAGGGATTGTAAGAGCCAAGAGGTCATGGTTATCATGTGAGAACCCACAGAGACAGCTGACCTGAGCTTGTGGGAGCTCATAGACTCTGGACCAACAGTTAGGGACCCTGCATAGGACCGACCTAGGCCCGCTGCATGTGTGTCACAGTTGCGTAGCTTGGTCTGTTTACAAGGCTCCTAGCAGTGAGATCAGGATCTGTCTCTGGGGCTTAGCTGGCTTTGGGGAACCTGTTCCCCATGCTGGATTACCTTACCCAACCTTGATGCAGGGGGAGGAGCATGGTCCTACTGTTGTTTGTTTGTTTTACTCTTTTGAGGGGCCCTGCCACCCAGCTCCCAAATAAATTACTCACAGAGGCTTATTCTTAATTATGAGAATTAATTCTCATCAGAAAAGCTTGTTTCTTGCCAGCTTTTCCCAACTTTAAATTACCCTCTCTATCTTTTACCTCTGGGCTTTTCCTGTTCTCTTACTTCTGTAAACCATACTCTTACTCCATGACTTGCTGTGTAGTTGGGTGGCTGGCCCCGGAAGTCCTCCTCCTTCTGGCTACTTCTCTTTCTCCCAGATTTTTTCTTCTATACATTCTCTCTGCCTGCCAGCCCCGCCCATCCTTTCTCCTGCCTCACCATTGGCCATTCAGTTCTTTATTAGCCCATCAGGTGTTTTAGACAGTAAAGTAACACAGCTTCACAGAGTTAAACAAATGCAACATAAACAAAAGTAACACACCTTAAAATAATATTCTACAACATCCTACCTCAACTTGATATGCCATACTCTGCTGAAGCCCATGAAAGACCTGCCACTTTCTGAATGGAGACAGGAGGAGTGGATGGGAAGGGGTAGACGGGAATTGGGGGGCGGAATGGGAGGAGAGAAGGGAGAGGAAACTGTGGTTGGTATGTAAAATAAATGAAAAACTGTTAAATAAATAAGTAAAAGAAGAAAAAGGAAAAAATACCAGAATAAGGATTTTGTTGAATAAGTAATATTTTGAAACCTGAGTGCTGAAGAATGACCTGAGTGGTAAGAAGTAATACTGTGAGGACCTTTTATCAATTAAAGAAAAGGTCATGTGTATAATATGAGTGAGGGGATTCCTACAGATGGCTCATGACAGAGTTTATTTTAATGTACAGCATACAGAGCAAGGGCAGCAAGCTGGAACTCCTCCAGGTAAACCACTGGAGACAAATCCTTCACAGCACTGTGCAGGTAAAAGGCCTGGTTCCCACTGTTCTGAACTCTTACTAGATGAGGATGAACATCATGATGGGTGTCGGATTATTTAACACAATTTTTACATTTTGTTATATAGTTTAGAACCACACTATATTTATATATGTGATATCTATACATCCTTATGATGTATAATTTGTTACTTGGTTTACAAAAGCAATTGCATGGTTTGTTAGCATAAATACTTCAGGTTTATTACTCACTAGGATCTCATGAACACTCTTAAGGTCATCACAAAATCAGAAATCAAAGTGTGGGGTGAACATATATTCTCATAATCAGACACGTGACACAGTTCTGTTGCGATTTCTGTAATGTAAAAGGTAAATAGATATTTTCCATGTCTTCAAGTTGGACATTCACAAATTTTCAAAAGTAATTTAGTCCTGAGATCTCATGTTCTACCATGGAAACAGTTAAAGGGATATATACACATGCACAAACATGTATTGGCTCTGTGTGTGTATCTGTTCGTGTATATGTGCACATGTGTGCTAGGGCATGCCAGAAATGGACTTCAACTGTCATTTTTCATCAATCTCTGACTAATGTTTTAAATCACTGAATTTAGTGATTGGTATTTGCTTACTGGTTGATGAACAAGCCTCAGAGACTCACCTACCTCCTCTTCACTAGTGCTGGGATTGTAGGTGCATGCCTTCATGTACCACTTTTCATGTGGATGCTGAAGACTGAGCTCAGGTTCACATACTTGAAAAGCAAATGCTTTATCCATTGAACCATCTTCCAGCAGCCCCAAACTATGCTCTGTAAAAAAAACAAGCAATTGTACTGATGCAGACATGAATGATCTATCAGACATTTGTACTTTCCTCCATATTTTCCATAGAAACTTTTGAAATGGGGTTAACAGACAGTAATTTTATTTAATGGTTATCCCTATATTCTCAAAAAAGATCTATTACACTAGGAGAACAATCACAAGTAGGAGGAAAAGTCTCCCATCCACATGGTAGTTTTGAATTACTTATCAACTTACTGATTTATGAAGATAATAGATCAGCTATTTCTCTGATTAAGTACATTCCCTCCTATCATAAGATGAAAATATACATTCTAATACATTTTTAATATCTTCTGTGTTGACATTTGTGCAAATTAATGTGTTATGGTTTGAATGAGAATGGCCCACAAAGGCTCATATCTTTAATGCTAGATCCCCAGTTAGTGGAACTATTTGGGAAGAATTAGGAGGCATAGCCTTGTTGGGATAGGTGTAGCTTTGTTAAGGAGGTGTGTCACTGGGGTCAGCTTTGAGATATCAAAATCCCACGCCAGGCTCAGTATGTGTCTCAGCTAATGCTCCATCATCATGCCCGTCTACTCCCTGTCATGATGATAATGAATTAACCCTCTGCAACTGTAAGCAAGCCCCAATTAAATGCTTTATTTCATAAGATTAGCCTTGGTTATAATGTCTCCTCACAGCAATAAAACAGTAACTAAAACCCAGTGTAAAGGGTAAAGAAAAATTATCATCCAGCAAACCTGGTTCTTATTGCACTATATATTTCTTGTGGCCAACAAGATACTAAACAAAACCCAGCATTCTCAATGTTGGATGCAGGGCCCTTGATTACACAGCCAATCAACAAGGCAGTTTTAATCCAAGCTACCCCATTCTTCCATCCCAATCCCAGTATTTTCCAAGTTTGCTTAGCAAATTCCTGTATGCCAAATATGCCATGTTTTTCTAAGATGTATTCTGTCCCATCTGTGTTTTACAGAAAAGGCCCATTTACTATTGAGTTTCCATACCAATTCTGATTTACAAGACAATGATCTTAGCTTAAGATAAAGTATATTAGAAGTAAAATTATGCTTTGATAGAATATATATTCTCCAAATATTTTGCTAACCATAGACATATTACTTATTAAATGTAACAGTAGCCTTTACATTCTTTAATTTTTTGTTTTATGCTTTATAGGGTATATGATGGTAACTCAATGCGTGTACAATTGTTATATGCTATATATATTAATCCAGTTGAGACACTAAGTATTTGCAAGTCTTGTCTATCACTCACTGAATGGGATGAGAATTTTGAACTCTTTTGGTCATTTTAAAATATATCATGTAACTATTCTTTTGTTCTGTATTTATTTTCATACAATCACTTGCTTATATTTCTGCATTCTCACGTAAATTCCCAGTTTCTTAAAGGAAACTGGGAAATCGGTAAGCCCATTCTATATTTTGTTTAAGTTTATATTTTTATGGATCCTGGGAGAGTATTTAGCACATAATAAGCACCAAAGAACTGTCTATCAATTTAGGTTAAACACAGTTCTAGACACACATACAGTATATCACTTGATTTCCTGCATTGTACATTGTATGGGACAATAGCCTCTCCCAGTCTATGTAATATACTCCTCAACATTCAAAATAATTATATCACAGAACTTAATATGTTTCCAGTGGGTGGAGCATTTTAACTAGTCTTGCCTCTTGTGTGTGTGTGTGTGTGTGTGTGTGTGTGTGTGTGTGTGTGTGTGTGTGTGTGTGTGTATGTGTTGTCTCTGGAGTGATCTGAGCTCTGAATGTGCAACCTAATTCCACACACAGAGCAGTCCTCTGCTCTTATCAACTCAACACAGCCTGTGAAGCCCTCACTGCAACTATGTGCTTTACCGCAGTCATGAGGTGCAAATTCTCTTTTTGGGCCATATTTCTAGAAGTTGTTATAATTGTTTTATTTGTATTTTTTGTTGAATATGAGACAACCCAGCAAGTCAATGCTACAACATCAACAAAGACGGACGAATTTTTTCAGTTGTATCCCTGTGAGTAAACAATGTATTTCTTATACTCCTTTGGGTTCCTTGGGGTCTCAGAATGTAAATATTTAAATACTATAACATTATACATTTTTGAGGTACTCTTAGAATTGTCTAGTATTTTGACTGTCGTGGGAATTATATGTCTCCATTAGGACATTCTTGTCTTCTGTTTATAATGAAAGTGTTTGGACAGAATCTGTGTTTATTCAAATGTCAGAATAATAAGCTAAAAATTAACATTCTGTCTTTTTTAATTCATTGCATCCTTAACACTAAATAATCTTCTTTTTGTTTGGGTTTCTTTACTTATTCTGTAATAATGAAGGTGTTGGTTACCTTCCCTCAAATAAAAAAAGTCAAAGGCAAATGCTGTCGGACAGAGATAAAGGCAAAATGGAGTGAAGAAAGGGAAGCCAGAATTCACCTTAGGTCCTTAGATATAAGAAGGGATGTTTAGGCAGATGAAGGAGGTTACAGGAGTTTTAATTCATGTATTCTAGGTTTTGTAGGATCATCAAAAAAGACACTTTGTTTTGTTTTTTTTTTAATTGAAAATGGTGAACAGTTGATTTAAAAATAGAATCCTTCACTGAGAACAGAGACTGAAGAAAAAGAACAATTGAGTTTCCAGTTTGGAAAAGCAGACTATAAAATAGTTAATATACAGTAAGCACCGTTTGCTGAGGGGTTATCATGAGACTGATACAGTTACTAGCTCATCTTCCAAGAGAGATAAAGTACACCATTATTTCTACATTTTTAAGTGAAGCTCAAGCAACTTTAATTTTCTAAGTCATTTAAAATAGCAATTGTTGGGGCTGAAGAGATGGCTCAGTGGTTAAGAACACTGACTGCTCTTCCAGAGGACCTGAGTTCAATTCCCAGTACCCACATGGCAGCTCACAACTGTCTGTAATTCCAATTCCAGAGGACCCAATATCCATGGCAAAACACCAACGTACATAAAATAAAAATAAATAATTTTTTTTAAAATAGCAATTGTTACTATTGTTTATAACACCTGTGTAAACTTCTTAAAATAATGCTTTCATGCCTGTATTTTTCAGAAGTGAATATAGTAGAAGCTTTCTCATTCATGAATTGTGGCCAAGGATGACTTAACAAACTGTAAAATTCAAATTCCAGAGTAGAGTTAGGATCCTAGGCAACATTCTGAACTCAGCTGCCCTCATACTCATAGGTAGTTGATAGTATTCTTGATTAAATTTTATATTTCTCAATTTAGAGATAAATAAAAGAGATGGAATTATTTCAAATTTTTGTGCCAATATACATAGTATTTTTCAGTCATCCATTCACTGAATAAATATTGTAAAGGAGCAAGAATGCACTATAAAAATTTATTCAAAGATGAATCAATTGCAACCCCATTGCAGTGGAACATCGCTCTACCGCATATGGGAGCAAGGGGGTGCAAGACAATACACAAAACAAGGTGCCAAAAATACTCACCGAGATTAATGTTATTCAAATAAAATTATGTCAAGATCTTAGGAATACAATAATTTCCACAACTCAAGCTGAAGCAGTAAGCCTGGTGTCAAAGATTCTAAGCAGAATTTCAGTTCAAAATGAGGTAAAAGGCAAGGTGGAGGAAGTAACTGAAAACATTAATTATTTCCTTGCTTAATAACAGATGATTAATTTCTGGCAGTTTAGTGTACTGTCTGCCAACGAGAGCTAACACTGTATCTTACACTTGCAATTTTCTAAGCCCCTACATCTTAAATCTCACCTCATACATATACATATACATAACTGCAACTATGTAGAGGTAAGTGGTATATTAACTGACTTGATTTCCATTATGATGTAACACATATACCTTAATACATATACAATATGTACTTATATATGGGGGTTATATCAAAAAATGTTATTTTTAAAACATATATTAACAATTATAACATTCTTCTCATTTGTTGAGAACAGGGAAATCCATTAGTATTATAATACATTAAGAAAATATTTATTATTATTCTGATTTTGTACAGAATTTTCTAGGCTTTAGGAACTAGGAATCAAATGTGCAGACAAAATGGGCGCAGTCTGTATCTTCATGAAGTGTTTGTCTCAGTGGGAGAGGGGTGTGTGTGTGTGTGTGTGTGTGTGTGTGTGTGTGTGTGTGTGTATTTTAGATGCTAATAAAATACCTAGCTAAAATTATATAAATCATCTTAGAGGACAGCCTTTGTACATTTCCTGTTTGACATGCAATTGTAAATCTATTTTTCTCTATGGACGATTCACATCCCAAGATTCTAACAAATTCAAATAGCTACATGACCCTCGTTAAAATAATTCATAGAACGGTCTGAGAAAATGCAGGATTTGAGGTACACGTTTTCTCTAAATTTCAAACAACTGACATTACAGGGCTTGTACATAAATGTCACTCATTAGAAAACAAATTGTCAGTGTCCATTGTTAGGAAACAATATTCAAGTCAAATCAATAAACACTTGGGTACTCTCCTGGTGTGCTGTGCTGTAACAAGTGCTAGGATTTAAGACAGAGAAAGCAGAATTAGGTAAGACCTGCTAAGCTCCTCTACAGCTCTCAGCCAGAGTGTTGCAAGCATCTGAATTCCTCACAAATACATGCGCTAAGGTGGCAATTTGCACTTTTAGTAAAGCACACAGCGGGGAGGGGCTATTTTCTTCTCCCCAGACGTGTGCATGGTAGGATTTTTCGGTAGTAGAGTGTGATGTCACATAGCCTCTGATTTTGCACACATTCCTAAACACACCACAGAAGTGTGTCACACAACTGAATGTCATGTTTCTGATATGCTAATTTGCAATACTATATAATCTGTATGTTGGGCTTCTAAGACACATAAAGAAGTGTTGGTCATTTTGTCAAGGGACATAAATTGGTAAGTCAAGCTTGGAAACAGTGTAGTGAAAGCTAGAATTTAAAAGGCAGGGGCCTTTGAGGGTTGGTTACCTCATTTAGAGACTCTGCAAGTGCTAGGGCTTTGTTACCTAATTGAAATTTAAACCACACCAGTGATCCTTTTCTGCTTTGCTACACTAAAATCCTTTACTTTCACTTTTAGTGGATTAAGTACCTGTGGGTCATTTTGAACGTTCTGCATTTTAATGCATTGTTCCTTTGAAATATGTATTGACTCCATATTATTATACAAATGTGGGCACACTTCATTATAAAATATAAAATATATACTTATTTACTAGTGGAGGTCCTCTTTCCCTCTCAGCCTGTCAGCCATCATTCTGAGATGGGAAAGAGGCAGAAGGGGGGCGTAAAGCTTTGTATGCTGCCCATGAGCAGGAATGGAGACAGGCCTCTGGGAGACAGACTTCAGTGAATCAGCTCAACTTTATTCCAGAGTATGAGGAACATATAGGATTAAGGAGCCTGGGGACAAACCCTAATTTGCATTAAGTGTCACACTCCTATCACAAACCTTTGAGGGTGGCAGTGGGGTCCTATCAAAATGGCTAGAACACTTGCCTAATTACTGCGTCTGCCATCAAGGACAGAGAGTTTGCAGGTAATTGTGTCAAGGGTCACCCTTGTGATAAATCAGGCATCCTGGGCCTAGAGACATTCTCCACATAAGGCTGGGCAGCAAACAGGAAGCTTTTGCTATGGAGGGAATTGTACATGTTGCAGAGCTTGGAGAAAGTTGCCAGGCCATGATAGACTGCAACCTCTGATCAGCAGGGCCTTCCAACATTTGCTCATTAGTAGTATCACCAACAATTTTACTAGGAAGGTCTTGAGCAGTCATGGGCAATCAATAAGTTTAAAGTAACAGATACAAATTCCCAACTTTTTACTTAGAATTCTAGTTTTTCAAGGAACTTGAAAGGTTTTATGTCAAAGTGACAACAAAACAATCTTATTCAATGAAATGGTAGCTACCATTTCACTTATAAAAATACAGCGGTGGCACATGTCTTTAATCCCAGCACTTGGGAGGCAGAGCCAGGCTAATCTCTGTGAGTTCGAGGCCAGCCTGGTCTACAGAGCAAGATCCAGGACAGGCACCAAAACTACACGGAGAAACCCTGTCTCAGAAAACCAAAAAACAAAAACAAAAACAAAAAAACATACCTACTAAGTACTTGAGGAAGAGTTATAAATCACAGGACAGTCTCTTTTCAGATAACAATCATCAAAACAATCACAAAAGTACTTTGTGTCTTCTGCCATCACATTTCAAGGATGTGTTACAAATATTTACATGTCATTATACCCGATTCACATAAAATATTAAAATCACATGTATGAGGGAGTTTATGAAGTTTATTACAAGAAATCCAAGGAGTCTGCTCAAAGGGCCAAAGAATTTATTTTGGAGGAAGATTCACTACAGCACGGGAGATTTACCGCAGGGTCCTGAAGTCCCAAGTACAGTCCAATGCTGTTCTTCCGTCTGGGTCCGACTCGCATTCAAGCCCACAAGGGAGAGAAGGGAGCATCGTATGTGGGAAAATGGCATCAAAATTGTCACAAGAACAGCTTTACCATCTCAAGCCTCTCAGAGTGTGTCTCCCAGGCACTCGGATGTCTGTGGATCACCCTTGGGAAGCACCAAAGGATTTACACAGCATTCAAAATTATTCTGACTTTCCAGACTAGCAAAAGATATAAAACTGTGGTTTATGTTTAAAGTGAACATGTTGTAATTTGTTCCTACATTTATTCCGAGAGGGTTCACTTCCTTTTCTATCAGCAGAACACAAACAACAAACAAACATTCATCCAACATGAACTATTCCCAGAGAACTACTCGTTGCCGTCTTTTACTGGAACTGTTATGAATGTACACAGTCCGTCATACATGACCTAAGAATATGGTGCCAAACTTGAGTACCGCCTTTAAATTGAACAGTTCCATCCTCATGCAAGGGCTGGGAGCAGTAGGCACAGCTAGACCTCAAATCTTAATTGAAAAATAATTTACTCCCTCCAGCTTCATTCATGAAACTGTTCATTTAAAACTGAAG